ATTGGTTGTTACGACAAAACAACACCGTATCCTGACCTGCTTTAGGGCTGTTTAGTTTTCCAGCTAATTCTATTAATTTTTTTTTCAGTGATGCAGGCGGATACATCTCACAATAAAGAGCTGTTTGTACTGGTGACTGTGTGATCCCCTCAAACCAGCCTGACCCCCACTCACCAATTTACTGTGGCAGTGGAGACACTCGCATTTTGATATCTCTCACAATCTGAAAATGTAGGTCTGTGACAGCTTAGTCCGGCAGGCCTGCTGCCGCCGTGCTGATATTTAGAACCAGGGATTTGACAGATTACGAGAGTTCCCAAAGATTAGGGAAGCAATCATTGTTTCTGCAGATGGAAGCTACAGGCTCGTGGATTTAAAACTATAGGAAGGATGGCCTGGCCTTGACTCTGGCTCCCTAATATTGAGACCCGCTGTCCAAATCGAATCAGTACATATGTTTCTGTCACAAGCGAGCAGAGAAAGAGTTTGCGGTCATGTGGTTTTGTAACTTGGATGTTCTGGCTTAAAGAAGTGTGTCGTATCTCTGGATTTACTGTGGCAAAACGAGCACTAATGTGTTATGTAGAGGCCTGCATCAGTGTTGTTGATTTACTCTGAAGCTCAAGCCACATTATCTCACTTTCAAGTGAAAACATTGGATTTTCAACAAGTTTGCTTTTCAGTAATCAACATATAAAACCTAATCCTGAGAGTTATGATTGTTGTGAACGCTTGGAAGAGTAATGGATTATCAACTGGCTGTTAAGAGCATGTAGCCATGTAAAGGCTTTATTATAGTGTATGTTGTCATGGGACTTCATGTTTATTTCCAAATCTTGTTTCAGAAATAGTGAAACTTTACGAGCCAGTATCTCACAGAAAAACATACAGTTTGTATTCTTTGTTATGCAGCTGATCTTGGGTTACACATTGGATCGTCCAGAGCATATATCCTCCCACTGTTTCCTCTTCACGATTGCATAACACAGTTTCACTTCTGCCAGGCCAATGATGTGTCAGTAAATAGTTTGTTTTCTTCCCCACGGCCTGACACTTTCTGAAAAACACAGACACACACACACACACACACACACACACACACACACACACACACACA